CCTGGTTTTAGAGCTGGAAGAACAAGTATCTGTTTACAAGACTTCTTCCTAGAGTTCCCTCTAGTGGACCAGACTGAAGAGAAAAGGAGAAGGCCCAGACTGCAAAGTAGGGACCTTTCTCTGAGGGCCTCCCTTTGTAAGAAGTATAAAATGACATTTGCACTTGTATGACAAAGCCCTGAAAATGAGAAGTCACTCAGAGTTTTTCATAACATTGAACTGATGCTTAAATCAGGATATGACCTCAGCAGATTGTTTAATCTTTCTTTTAGGTGATTTTTGATGATCTCCTAAAAGTGCTGGTTTTTGGAGGCAAAAAGCCTTGAGTCATAGCCATCCTAAAATATGATTTAAATGGTCTACTTCTAGTTACGCTAATAAGCATTTGAAAGCTTATTAGCCATGCACCAGGTTGGTAACTACCTGAACCTAGAAAGGATAATAGCAACTCTTTCTCTGATGGTAATGATACAAAGCATTTAGTATGGTTCCTGATGTATTAACTATGGCTGTTATTACCATTAATTTTAATATCCTGCTAGTGTTAGGATTCATATTTGTATTGATTTTAGCATAAGCATTATTGTTGATGTTAATATTGGGCTTAGTATTACAAGCGAATCAAAACTTTGATCCAGCCAAAAGAAATCAAGGTTAGAGTATTAGCAGAGAAATCTATGTATTACATCAGTGCACTTCCCTGGGAAATGTTAGTTTGAGTTAAACTTTCTCATCAATCCTTGTCATTGTCTTTGCTACTGGAAGCCTGAAAAATGAAAAGAAAGTATAGGAAGCATTGATCGGAGTGTTATAGTAGCCTGAAATCTGTTGGGTGGTTCCAATCGCCTGCACTGGATGCCAGCCTGCCATTGGTCTTGTCTCCTGCCACACTGTTCATCAAGTATGCAGTTCCATTTCAGCTTGAGACCAAGTTCACTAAGTGAGGACTGTATGGCTTTCGGCACTTCCTAGGAGAAGCCAGCAGGGAGTAAGAAGACTCTTTGCAGGAGTGTGGAGGCAGTTGTAATCTTGCTAGAGGCTGATCCTACCAACTGTTTTGGAGTGTAGGTCACATGACTGTGTTTGTCTCTTTATATCCAAGAAAGGCAGCTTCTATTATCTAAGGGCAATCATCCTGAGTTGTGTGCTACTTATAAGCCTTGCACTGTTTGGAGTAAATTTGCTGTTGCTTCAAATATCAACCTCTCTGATCACATTTCCTTTTTCCCTCTGTACCACTTTAGTGAGACCCTGTTTCAAATTGGGAAGTTTTATTTCTGCTCCAAGAGAACGCAGTTAACACCCATAGTTGGGATTGTTATGTATGCTTAGCTGTGTACATGTGTAATTCACCTAGAAGTGGTATGGTCTTTCCAAGGACAAAACTATTCTTTCAATTTATTTCTTCAGCATACATTACAGAATGATGAGGAAAGGTATACGTTACTTAAATGTTTGATGTTTTTACAATAAATAGGGAGCAGACAATGTGTTGTCTTTTTCACTTGAACCTGGGATCATAATAGTTTATTTTATTCATGTTGTGTGTGTGTGTGTGTGTGTGTGTGTGTGTGTGCCATCACTAGAGCTTGAACTAAGGGCCGTATGCTGTTAAATAGTTTTTTCCACTGAATTCTAGACTCTACTGTTTTTACCTCTTGATTGAAGGTAAGAGCACCATGGAATTTCCCGCTCAGCTGGCTTTGAATTGTGATATTCAGATCGCAGCCTTCTGAGTAGCTAGGTTATAGGCATGAACCACCAGTGCCTGACTTTTATAAATGAAATCACATCTTGTAACCAAACTAGTTTTGTACCTTAAAAAAACATTTAATTCCTTAATTAAAAGTTAATTTATAAGTTTTTTCAACAAATAATTATTGAGATTACAATAATAGGTGCTTAGAAAAATGAGCAACTTACTGTGGTTCCATATATATAGCACAAGAGTTGTTGTAATTGGGTGGTATGCTATTGGCTCCTACCTGTGATGATAGCTATTCAGGATGCTGAGAGCCAAGTGATTGTGGTTTACCCAGTCTGGGCAGAAATGTCTGGGAACAAGGTGAATATAATTATCATTACTGAACCATTTTACTTAAAAAATTGTTAAGGTAGAAAAAATGTATTTAATGTGTATTTTATCCCAAGTTAGATAAGAAGCTTTAAATAGGAAGCTATTGTTTGTTTCCATTTATTCCATAATAACTGAACTACCAAAAAAACTGAGCAAGTAGAATTCAGAAGTAACTGTGCCTTAATTCATGTAGTGCATTGGAGGCAGCTTACATCAGGATAATGAAGCTTTGACTCTGCCCCAGGTACAGTGGGAACCACAGTATGTGTGTAGAACACTTTATCAGTGCACGTTTAGAAAGTCCCATGGTGCATTGCCGGGTAGGCACATGAAGGGAAATCTAAAAGGGAGTTGGTACAGTTAGCCTAACTGTGACCAGCTGAGAGCTGATGGGATCCTAAATGTGGACAGGGAAGGTATTGGGAGCTGGGAAGGTAAGGAAGAACTACACTCAGGGATCATTTAGCATAGAAGCCAGGAAGACTTTGTGATTTACTAAATTGGCAGATGGTGGGGGGGGGGTAAAAGAGAGGATAGCATCTAATTGACTTCTACATTTTTGGCTCAGATAATTACATAGAGAGTAGTGTTTCTGTAAGAAAAAAAAAACTAGTAAAGAGGTGTGATGTGAGTATAGATGGGTTCTAAGCCCAGACACTAAGGTGGTCGTTTGTTTGGCATTATTTCACTCCTAATGAAAGCATAAATGATCAAGAATAAATGTGAAATATTGATCCCTATTTCTCAGGCACATTCGTTTCTAGAAGGATGTTTGAAGTTTATAGAAGTGCTCTGGCCTAATTTTATTTGTATTCTTAGAGATGTTATGGTTAATTCAGTTACCAGACTTAGGCTTCATCTGCTTATAGAGATAGAAAGGGGCTCATGGGTGGAAAGAGGATTTAAATTCAAAAGATTTAGACAGTCCCAGATCTGATGTCATATAGTCAGGTGACCTTGGATACATGCTTTAATTGCTCTGAAAGTCAATGTTGTCACAGGTAAAAAGGAACATCATAGCTGAGTGGTAGTAACAGAGGTAGAAAGTAAGAGTCCTTCACAAACTTTGTTGTGACATTGCTAAATATGACTTTTGCTTTGAGATTAAGACTGCATTGTACATTCATTGGAAAATACAAGTACTGATAAATAATCCACTTCTAAGAAGGAGTGAACATCAAATTAAATTACAAAACCTGGGTGGTCTTGTTACTGTCACTGAGAACTGATGTTCACAAAATGTTTTTCATCTAAAAGATGAGTGAATATTTTTGTAATGAAGACATGTTCTGATAACCTGTTGGTATTAACATAATGGGGCTCTAGAAAAGTATTATACATGACAGTTAAAGCTGAGATGGTGCTACGATAATATTTCGGTACCTATAGGGGACCAAGGCAAACTAGCATTTTATTAACAAGAGGCAGGGTGAGGCAGGGTGTAAACCTTTCAGTAATGGGGACTCTAGAGGGACACCTCCAAAGGAAAAGGGAAGGGACACTGAGAGACAGAGAAAGAGTACCCAGCCATAGAGGCCCAGGCTAAGGCTGAAGATGGAGACTGAGCCTTCGATCAAAGATGAATGTCCTCATCATTTCTTGTCTTTGTCCTTCTTTCCTCCTTGATAAGCCCTTAAGATCTGCCTGAAAGGCTCAAACCATGGCCTTTGCCAGCGTGTGTGTGAGGACTTAGGATTCTCCTATCTGTATAGTTGTGTAGCTGCTTTTTCTCTTAAGATGGTTAAGAGCAGAGAAAAAGAAAACTAAGAAATGAGAAAACATTGTTTCTTTCTCTTCAGGGATCATGGAAGTAGAGCCATGTGGTTTATTTTGATTTTTGAAGCTCTATAAAAGGTAGTTTCATTCCTAAAATGGGTGATCTTTGGTCCTACAACCCAATGAGCCAAAATCAACATGCTTCATATGAAGTAAAAGAAGAGTAAATTGTCTTCCCTTTCAGGTTACCACAAATAATATGGATGGTAATTGTTTTCTTACTTTGGGGGAAACTTAAGGCTTTCACAAATCCTGAAACAAAATTAAGCTAACCTAGTGGGACCTATAAGAATTCCATTATCTAACACAATGCTTTTTCTTTTTTTTTTGGTCCAGTCATGGGGCCTGAACTCTGGGCCTAGACGCTGTCCCTCAGCTCTTCAGCTCAAGGCTAGTGCTCTACCACTTGAGCCACAGTGCCACTTCCGGCTTTTTTTTTTTTTTTGCTTATGTGGTGCTGAGGAATCCAACCCAGAGCCTCAGGCATGCAAGGCAAGCACTCTACCACTGAGCCACCTTCCCAGCCCATGCTTTTTCTTTTCTATCTGTAATTTGAAATTTTTAGCATATGCTAGGCAATTATTGTTATTGGAAGACTTACTCCACTCATTTAAGTCCTTTTTCTCCCTTTTCATTTCCTTTCTCTTTTTCCCCTTGTACTGGTCCTTGAACACAGAGCCTTGACCTCTTGCTTGGCTTTTTAGCTCAAAGCTGGTGCTCTGCCACTTGAGCCACATCTTTACTTTGAGACTTTTGCTGGTTAATTGGAAATAGGAGTCACAGACTTTCTTGTTCAAGGTGGCTTTGAACCATAACATGCAGATCTTAGGTTCCTGAATTGCTAGGATTACAAGCAGGAGCCACCAGCTCAGGACTTCAGTAAATTTCCTTTGTCTCATTTATTATCCTACTCCTGTAGCTCATAAAATTGTCAGGCAAAACTTACTCATCTGCAGTGGTTAATATTGATCCAATTTTGTTCCTTCTTAACCTGGTTTATGGTGATCACCAAGTGTCTATGGCAAAGTTGGTTGGAGTTAACAATAGACATCGTCTAAGCTACTAAGAGGGTTAGAATGTAATGTTCAGACTTGAATCCTTTGCAAAGACTGATGACTTTCTTTTCCATTGTCTGGTTTTCTCCTAGAAGTATCGATATCAAGATGAGGATGCTCCACACGATCATTCCTTACCTCGGCTAACTCATGAAGTAAGAGGGCCAGAACTTGTGCATGTATCGGAAAAGAACCTATCTCAAATAGAAAATGTCCACGGATACGTTTTGCAGTCACACATTTCTCCTCTGAAGGTCAGTGAGCTTGCTCTTCAAATACTATAGCTGCTGATGGTTGTTGGTCTTCATTGCTGGTTGTTGGTCTTCATTGATGTGGTTCTTTAAAAATATAAGAGAGGCACGTCATTGCCTGCCAAAGGATCTCTGTGAGTTGGAAGCCAACCTAGTATATCTGGGGCCTATTTTTATTGCAGTTGTCTGAATGTCTGGAAAATCCTTTTTGTTGTTGGGAATGGCTAAGGGAAGAGCCAAGAATGAAAAATGGAGAGGAAAATAATTCATTTACTTAGTTGTTTTAAACTCAAGAGTATACCATAGTTTGGTTTGAAGGTTCTCAGTCCTTCTACATTCCTGGTCCCAGAAAAAAACAAAGGGAGCAAATATATCACAATCACACTTAATGGTAGCTTTGCTGTCTAAACTGAAAAGGAAAATATGGGAGTTGACTTCTCAACACCAATTTTATCTGAGGAGAAATTGTTTACCAGATTTCTATTGAGTAATATACATATTTTTCTGTACTTTCTCTGTGTTTTAAATTTCTTGATCACAAGTATTTTGACAAGAAGAGAAAATTAAATGAGAATAAAATTTTTCCAGTTGCCTTTATCTTTTACTTAGTGCTTCAGATAAAACTCTTATAAATGCTAATTAAATTATTAAAAGATAAACAGAAATAGATATAAGACTGTATTTTAAGGGAATTGAAATAAGAAAATAAAATCCTGACATTTAATACCTTTACTGTTATAAAGAAAATTTTCTTTCATTATCCAGAATACTTATTTCCCTGACATTCCATGTAACTGTAACACAAGAAAATACATGCAGCCACACAACTGTCTAAGATTTTCTAGGATCTTTGGATGGTGGCTAATAAAGTAGAAGAAAATTTAAATTATACTTAGGATAGCTCTGAATTTTGGTGCAGTTTAAGAGTCTCATGCTCTATCGTTGTTAGCTAGGTTCTGCTCATTTTGGTTCATGTTAAATATTCCGATAGCCTAAGAACCTATCAATTACCATTCCTACTAGTTGATTGTACTATCAATAAATTACAATTGTTACATCCTAGTAAATATGACATGATATATAAAAGATGTAAACGTTCTTCTGGTACTTCTTGTGCATTTTTCCAGAGTTGCTTTGAAAACAATTTGGTATTGGTAGAAATAAATCTATTTAATGTAGAGGAGAAAAGATGAAGGGTTGGGACACATAGAACATGCCTTTCTACTTCAAGAGACAATGACAGAGCTGTCATGTAGATGGTTGGTACACTGTGCCTTTCTGACAAGGCCATACTTTTGAGATGATCATAAAACCATCCTTTCTCACAGGGTTAAACCCCTTGGGGATAGAATATTTCTTGTCTCCAGAATCCTCCAAGGCCCATGAGGGCTTGGCAAGGGTTCCTTTGACAGGAAAGAAAACTAAATTGACTCTAAAGTTTGAGCTCTTAGTAACAACGATTATATTCATTTCAGATGGCAGTTTTTCTTCTGCAAGGACCTGTTGTCTCTGCCGTCTGGGCTCACCATGATAAATAGACAAGGGCAGTGCTGGGAGATGGGGCTGGTCTTAATGAGTGCTTATATTTCAGTTTTATTCTAACTGGTGGGAAGGCTCTTTCTACCACTAAACACCTCTAGGGAACCTCCCTTCTTCCCTTTCTCTCAATTTGTCTTTTCCCTTTCCTGTCTAATCAGCTCCCTAGGAGGGTTTAGGCTGCATAGGATAATCAATACTGGTCCAATCAAAATGATGATGTTGATGATGATGATGATGATACATTAAGAACTCTTCATTGTCTATATTAAATCTTCAGCATCTACATGACAATGATCTAAATACAAGATTGGGTGATTATACCCTCATGTTCTAGGCTATTCAATACTTCATTTGTAAAATGTCTGTTAATTAGAGAGTTAAGGGGGTTGCTTTTTCTGAAGATCAGATCTCCTATGTTTTTTCCATTTCCTTTTATTCCTTGCATTCCAGGAACCTCAGAGTTGCTTATCTTCAACTTCAGTGGCTTTCCTTAGCTTTAGTTTTGTTAGTTTTGTTTTCTTTATTTTCCTTTTAACTTATCTACTCTTTTTTGTTTGTTTATTTGTTTGTTAGTTTTGCCAGTCTTGGAGCTTGAACTCTGGAAGTGAGTGTTAGCTCAAGGCTAACACTCTACCACTTGAGCTACAGCACCACTTCTTGTTTTTTCTGTGATTAATTGGAGATAAGAGTCTCACCAACTCTCCTGCCCACGCTGGCTTTGACCTGTGGTCCTCAGATCTCAGACTCCTGAGTAGCTAAGATTGCAGTCCTGAGCCACTGGTGCCCAGCTATTCTGTTCTTTTTGAAGGTGTGGTTGATGGCATTTTTGTAGTGGTATTGTTTTTAATTGAGACACTACTTTTAAAAATGCACATGAATGACTGAGACCCCCTGATGTGTTTCACCTAGGTTAACATTGGTTTGCATTCCCCTCTGAACCTGCCAGTTCTTCCTGCAGCCCCAGGTATGCTGAAGAGGAAGGAAAGGAAGTTCATCTGGGGATCCTGCAGCAAGGGCAGGAGGCAGCTATTTTGGGACTAGTCCTTTCTCCTCATGACTCTCTAAGAGGTGTTATTTGTATTAAATAAGATGTGCTTTTAGATCTTCTTGAGGAAGAGACTCTGTTTACCTTTCTTCTATCAGCAATCAGGATAGGGATAAATGTGTACATTTTTTTTTCCTCCCAGGAGAGGTTAAGGCCCTGTTTTATAATGTTTGCCACTTTTTTTCTGATATCAATACATCCCTTATAGTTAATTTCAGGCTCCCAACTTAAAGCTACAGAGATGACTTGGAAACTGAGGCACAAAATGTTTTCACAGCTAGTACAAGCTAGCTTCAGCTGGCATAGTAGCACCAAATTCAAACACACATATTTTAATAGCAATGGGATACATTTCTTAATCAAGTTAAGGGTTATTGTATTATTACAGTTCAAGTGTTTGTAAAACTTGCCTTGATTAAAGCTTAGTGTGTTATTATTAGAATCAGGGAAATGCAAAGAAAATTCAAACTCTCAATTAAGAATGCAATTCTTTTCCAACTTTTTGCTTCCTCTGATCTGTCTAGAGTTCTCAGGTTAAGTATTAAAAGGAATAAGAAGGAAAACCTATAACCAGATAATGTCCCTCGAATCCTACAATGTGGCTCTTAGGTGTTAATTGGGAATTTACATATGGCATGCTTAAATACAGTGTGAGATTGGTGGGTAGCAGTTTAAGTGTTGGAACTGAGCAAACTCTGATCATTAGCTGAGTAATCTCGTTGCAGGTTTGAGATCATTTCTTCCATCTTCCTGTATTACTTGAAGCCTCCATTCTCAGATTCATCTGTCTTTGGTGCCCACCAGCTGCCTGCGTGATAAATGGGCTGGCTTAGCCTGTTTTCATTAGCAGGCCTGGACCAGGGTGAAGAATGAGTTGGGAAGGAGAAATGCAATTTAGTAGTGAATTCAAGGGAATTTGTTTTCCTTGCCACAAGATAGGGATGCTTTCTCTTCAGGCACTAACTTGAATCTTCTAAGAAATATTGGTCTGTAGTAAAGCATGAGGATTTTTCTTTTCAGTTTAGGTCTGTCTAATATATATTAGTACCTACTATGTATGTTAGGTTATGGACAGACAAAGAAGATAGAACATGATTTAAATATTCATGTCACTATCCTGAGCAACTGGAGTTATAGTTATAATTACATACCACTTATTCTTGCTGTGCCAGAATTCAAAATGTGTGTGTGTGTGTGTGTGTGTGTGTGTGTGTGTGTTGGTACTGGAGCTTGAACTGAAGGCCTGACACTGTTTCGTGGCTTATTTCCTTAAAGCAGAAGCTCTACCACTTGAGCCACAGCTACACTTTCAGCTTTGTGGTGGTTAGAGATCAGTCTCGCAGACTTTCCTGCTTAGGTTGGCATCAAACTGTAATCCTTAGAGCTCAGCCTTCTGAGAGCTAAGAGTACAGATATGAGCCACCATGGTCTTACTTAAAAATTGCTAAGTTTTAAATTCTGCAAAACCACAGCTACCTAGCAGAGCACTGTATTCAGAGAAATTTTATAGAGAAGAAGAAAGGAGGAGAATAAAGAAGGAAAGGAAGATGGTGAGAGGGAGAAGAGAAAGAGAGAGAGAGAGAGAGAGAGAGAGAGAGAAGAGAGACCTGTTATCCTCCCCTTCTTTACATCATAATGTTTGATACAGAATTTTATCCATTCTAAACTTCATAATTTAACACTGATTTACATACATCTGCATGTATGTAAAAATTTATGGTGTCCTATAATGAACAATAGTAGTATTTGCTAGGGAATATATTTTTAAAAATCTTACCTTAAAACCACCAGTGACTATTGACCGGAAAGTGAGAGTGACATTTTATAAATTGGTATAAATTTTTCTAACCAGATAAACATGATTGTCTGTTTTCTAATTTTAGCTGAGATTAGAAAAAACGGTTCTGAGAAGTGTTTGGAGATTTGAAAGTTAAAAAGGGTGAGGTGATATCTATGCCCTTATTGAGAGAGTAGACATAAAAGGATTGCCATGTGTACTTTGTCTCATTATTTTCTTACTATCCATGCTATGACCTGCTCACAGTAAAGTATGTATTAGCTAACATTACTATAAAGCCTCTTCCCCCACAAAGCCTTCCCCAACTACGCATAATCATAGCACTCCACAGTACATGCATTTACTCGTGTGATTAGCATTTTGAAATGTGCTTTATTCTATTGGTCAAAATGGGATTTGCTGAACTATGTAATATGCTGACTTCTACATTTGCCATTTTACTTTCTCTGAGTCAATGTGTAAGCTACTAGGAATTGAAGTACACCTTATTTTTAATTTTGGTTTCTTTTCCGTTTTTTACTTGTTTCTTGGTATTTGCAATGCTGCCGAGACTAGCATTTCCCAGCCTTATATTTGGTGAGATATTTTTTTTTCTGCATTTTAAGGAAAATCAGGGGACAG